ATGGTGCCAACTTGGGCCAGTGAAGCAACGTCCTCCACAACTAGACTGAAGAACAAAAGGACAGCAACTTGTCTGTTCCCCTTCCCCCAATTCCCCAGAGCTGTTCCCATCCTCCAATTCCCCAATAAAAATCTTTAAAAAGAAATGAGTCATTTGACCTTGAGACGCTTATAGTCTGGAAAAAGGCTCTTGAACAGATAACTTCGAAATGTTTCACTTTCTCACTATTTCTGGTTCAGGACATGCTACATTCTATATACAATTTAACTCAACAAATCTTTATTTACTGGTAAATAATGCACAAGTAATTTGTACGTGACTCAAAAGTGAACAAGAGATGATCCATGCCCTCAAGGAGCTTATTATGGTCTATGAGGTAAACAAATGACAAGTACAAATTGACTGTCAAGTGAGCAGAATAGTAGAGCTTTAAGTGACACAGCAGGGTTAAAGGAGTAAATTTTATGTTATGTTGTAACCATTATGAAAACAATTAAAAGTTCCAAGGATTCTGGGGTTTGTATCTGCTTAGAAACACTTTCCATACCTCAAGATTATAGAGAAGTCTGTTTAGTCTTCTAAAAGTGCTGTTTGTTAATATGGAGGTGCAACTTTTGGATAGGCGTTTGATGTGAAGAGGCTTTGGCATCAGTCATGGGAGGAAGAGACAAGGACCTGAAGTAAGGTGATGAAGTGGAAGGATCAGGTTCCTCTGACTGGGAGGGTTGGGTGGTAGCACTTGTCTTTCAACTGGCTATGTGCTTGATGCATGGTCGATACTTGAATGTTTATTGAATGAGGGGGAATAATCAGTACAGAGAACCCCTGAAGTTTCTAACCTAGGCAGCATGCACAATAGTAAAAATACTATTAATACTAATATTCACTGAAGGGGGAAGATCAAGTTTATGGGTAGATTGGGATGTGTTACATTTTAGATGCGCTAATATTTTTAGGTGCAGGCTGGCCACATAGGTGAATTCCAGAAAGCCATCAAAAGGCAGGTCTGATGTGGAGAAGAGTTTGGGCAGACCAATTTGGTTTAGAACTCAGCCAATCAAGATGATTGCTGCAACTATGGGGTTGTATGGGGGAGTATGAGTTTTAAGAGAGAATGGATAGAGAAGCTTGAAGAATTCCAGCCTTTAAGTGGGATGGAGAAAAAGTATAGCTCAAGAAGCAAATAATTTGCAGAGATGGCACTTGAAATGGACTTGAAGAACGGGTTTTGACAACAGCAGACTGGAGGGTGGGGTATGGGAGGTACTGAAGGGTTCAATCAGAAATAACATGAATAAATAGGGAGGCAAGGAAGTACTCCATCAAAGAAGTCCTTCAGTAACAAGATGTTGAATGAATTTGTTCTTGAAGAACTGGAAGTTTTATGGATGGGTTAGTCAACATTATTACTGTGGAAGACAGGGTGATGACCAAGAAAAGGTCAATTCCCTCAGGGTTACTGTGACTAATGAGATTTGGTTGCTTGGGTCTGAAGAGTTTAATAGCATTTGATGTGCTTTGTTTAAGCTCCAGCCAAAGATATCTGATAACTTTGGAGTGTCTCAGGTTTCTGAACAGTCAGTGGTCTTCTATCCTAGATTTAGATTGGGTGCTCCAATTTTCTTTGTTGTGACACATCTTTGTGCCATATCTACACTATGTGGTTTTCAGGTATACTTTCATCATTAGTGTTTGTTTTTGTTTTTTTAAATGAGAAATTGAATGAGATCATGTTTCTGGGGAAAGGAGATGATGGCAGCAATGTTACTCTCCACGGCTCAAGTATCACACTGCAAACACGTGCTTTCACAGGGTGGCAAGAAAACAACTTAAGCTAAGTTTGATTCCTACTTTCCTCAAAGACCCTACACTTAGTTTCAAAGATTCACAATTTGGTTGATATGAAAAAGACATACAGATTTTTTTTTTTAAAGATTTTTATTGGGGAATTGGGGGGATGGGAACAGTGCTGGGGAGTTGGGGGAAGGGGAACAGACAAATTGCTGACCTTTTGTTCTTCAATCTAGTTGTGGAGGACGTTGCTTCACTGGCCCAAGTTGGCACCATCATTGCGCTCTTCTCTGGCGAGGCAGATCAGTCGCCGGCTTCTGGACGGCCGCTCACTGCGGCTGCTGGCCACTCACGCTGGCTGCTGGCTACATACGGTAGCCCATGGCAACCCACTGCCACAGGGAGTGCAGCCTACGCCGTCGCCGGCGACTCATGGCAGCCCAGCTCCAGGTTGAGCTGTTGTTCAGCATCTTAGCTGTGGAGGGCAGTGTCACTGGCCCTCATATGTGGGATCCGAACCGGGGCCCTCTGGTATCCCAAGCGAGTTCTTAACCATCGCGCCACTCGGCCGGCCCAAGACATACAGAATTTTAAAAATGACAGCTTTAAAAAAATTTCAGAGTACCATTTCTCATTCATCAGCCTGGGAAAGACCTACAAAGTTTGGTAACTGCTGGGGTGAGGGTGTGGGAAAGCTGGCACTGTCCTACATTGCTGGCAGGACATCTATTTGCTGTGACCTCCTTGGGAGGCAACAGGCAATACTTACCAAATGCACATCTCCCCTGACCCAAGGCATTCTGGACAACATAATGCACTGCAACATAATTTATAGGGGCAAACGATGGGCAACAACTCAACGTGTCCATCAACAGAGACTGGTTAAATAAATGTGGCATATCTTCACCATTAAATGCTTTAGTCATTATTGTTGCTTATACATAACATAACTCTGGAACTACACATTAGAAACTGGTGACACTGGTGGCCTCTGGGAGGGGACTGGGCAGAGGGGAGAGGGATGGGAGGGACTTTTCTCTTACCTTCTGTACCTGATGAATGTATCACCGATCTCCACCCACTATCCCAACTGAAGCAAAAAAAGTCTTGTGGTGGTAGCAAAGATACTAATAGTTTTTAATATATAGGAAACTTGAGATAGTCATTAGTTATAATGCGAATCATTTAGAGAAGTTCAAGAGTTGAAGGCCATCTGATCTTTCCCATATACTTTTTCTCTCCACACAGAACACGAGGCAAAAAGGAAGGGAAGGGTAAGAGCACACAGCACAAAGAAGTCACAAAGCCAAGAAACTGGTGGGACAGAGACTTTATTGTGGCTGCTCGTAGTAACACATTCAACCCTTCAACATGTGCGTTAGTTTTTCTTTTTTTGTTGTTGGAGACCACAGCATGATGCTCAAAAGCCTTGAGCCTCATCTTATGTCAGTCTAGGTCAATGGTTGCCTATTTTGTAGCTCAATTAGTTAGAGGAGAAAGTCAGGAAAATCTAGTTTGACATCCCAGATTAAGGGCTGCAAGATTTGCAAACCATTCTTATAAAGTGCTTATGTTCAGTGCAAAAAAGGGCAGATTCAGAAAGGCAAGCAGATGCCAGGGAATGACATTTCCTCAGAAACAGATATATTCTATGACTTAAAGAAGGGAAAGCCACTTGTCAAACTTCCCCCAAAAGAGATCTAGTATTTTCTTCGCAGTCTTTCCACTCTCTAAGAGGACCAAAACTTTGAATCTGACAGATGCCCATAAGACTTGTTTATTTTACTATCAAAAAACCTGGCTCAGAAGGAAATCCACAAGGTTCTAAGCACCAGAGATACTGACTTTGGCTTGTAGTTCCTGTTTGTCTGAGCAGCAAGTATAAGATTGACAGGCTGAGCTCTGGCTGGTGGGAGGCTCAGAGCTGCAGAGCTTTTCTTAGGCCCCTCATTTGTTAATCCAAGTCAAAGAGTATGACAGACCCTCTCTAAAGTGTTGTCACATCTTCAGTGGGAAGACAGGCCAATGCATATTAAAGGAGCACTTCACCTAGTTTCACCAACTGGATGGGACCTTGTCATTGTCCCTTCATCTGAATCTTGTCCGCAGGCCTACCTCCAAAGTGGACCCTCAACTCCCTCTGTTAAGACGAGAAGTGCCCTGCCTTCTCACTGGCCCTGGGTCTCTGCATAGCCATCCATTGGTCCTGAAGAGAGAAGCAGGAGGGAAGAGGAAGGGGTTTCCTAACCAACTTAAAGGGCACGAATAGGACTATAATTCAAATAGGCACAGTCTAGCCACTCATCCTAGGATCCTGGCTACCTTTTCTCTCCCCAGACTCTCAAAGAGGGAGCCACCTTCTGTCACTTTGCAGCAGGGACATTCACAAAAACCAGCTCTGTGCCCTGTGCTTGTAAGCAGCCCTCCTGCATTCCTGTTTGGAGAGGCTTGCCTTTCTCTCCCTGCTGGATGAATTCGATGGTGCCCTTCCTGCCCGTGGCTGGGGTTCCAGACCCGATCACTTGTACTGCACCCGCAGCTTTCAGAGGCCAGCACCAGGGGACCCTTCTGCTCAGACCACCATCCAAAGACTCACGGTAACTCCTTGTGCTTGTGAGAGGAGACACTTGGAGCCCTTGCCCCAAAGCCATCTCTGAATTTGGGGAAGGCATGAAAGGGAAAAGAGGCAATCCTTTTGGTGCTGCTCTACAATTCTCAGTAAAACCCGTGTAGTCACGAGGAGCTACTGGAACGTCTCCACACAGAGGGGACTGTGTACAAACAGGTTTGACCCGGGTTAAGAAACCAAAACGCTGGGAAGGTTTTTACACTGGCAGAAGTCTAAAATAAAGTGCCTCTTTTCAGTAGGAGAAGAGTTTCATTTGTTCAGGAATGCTCGGGTGTAAACATGAGTGCACAGGAGTATGCACACACACTCACTCACTCTGAGGTAGAGAACCGGCCATCTCCCGACAAACACACACAGATTCCACAATTTTACAGATACATGGCACTTGTGTGAAAGGTCCTATCCCTTGCCCAAGATGGCAAGTAGGGTCCAATTCAGCTCTTTCCGACCTGGGCAGAGCCGGGGCACTGCACAGGATGAAAGAGGTGGAGGGCATCTCCATCGTGCTTGGCCCACCGTTCTCAGGCCCGGTTGCCCATGGTTACTTCCTGGAGCCTGAGCTGTGGGAACCGCGGCTGTGGCTTGTCCGAAGCCACTGGGCGCAGATGTCTTGCACTACAGCGTCCCCGCTGCTCTCGGCGGCCTGCTGCACCTGCTGAACGAGGGCCGTGGCCCGTGAGTGTTCTTGCTTCACGGCAATCAGGTAGGCAGACCGTAGTTTGCAGCATGTCAGGTAGGCCTGAACCTGGCAATGGGTATGAGAGACAGCGGAAAGGAAACATCACGGACGAGTCACCAGCAAGCTTGCAACGCAGCGTCAGAGCTCAGGGACCTATCACTTCTCACCAGCAAATCAATTATTGGGTTCTTGCCTTTTATTACATTATACCAACTCTTCAATATTCTGGATGCTGGGCTATTGCATTGTGTTATTTTATAGTGTAAAAAGGTATCGCAAATAAGGTAAGAATTTCAAAGAGAATGAGGCAAGCTCCAGGAAGGCAGGGTCTGGCCTCCCTCCACTCCCGCCGAGGCTGCCGCCTCGTTCCAGGTCTCTCCAGCTTCCTCCTGGCTTCACTGCCCACAAGTTGTGATGTTAGTTATTTGGGTGATTATTGGATTGATGTCTGTCTCCTTGACTAGACTTTAAGCTCCACGAAGGCAGGAATAGTGTCTGCTTTCTCTAGTCTACCCTTGTATTCCTGGTGCCTAGCACAGGGCCTGTTCAGTAAGTATGCATCAAGTGAAGGAATGAATGAACCATTATTCCTGTCCCCAACAATGGGCACACAGATCCCACTTCTTGGTTTTCAGCTTGCTAAATTTAAAATCTTCCACAGGAAATTTGGGGAAGAAAACATATACACATAACTAGAAAAGGTCTAACTTTTGTTGTTTGGATCAGAGGTGGCTCAGTTTCGTGTATGGGGGTGTCTCTCCTACTCTCTGGACACCCTCCATCTCAAGAATCCCCAGCTTGGTGGAGACGAGAACCCTATCCTCCCCTGGTTGGGATCTCACCAGCACTTCCCTGATTAGCCAAGGGCAAGGCCTTTATAAGCTGCCTCAGAGCTTCCTCCAGCAGCCAGCTTCCTGCTGTGACAGTCCCTCCTCATGGTTGGAGGGAACTCCTCGCTTTCTGTTTCAATGTTCCATATTCTTTCTTGTTTCGGTCACTAAAGTCTTTCTTTCCTAAGCTCAATTATAGATAATCTCCTATAGCTGGAAGAAGTCTGGCATGTTCTGAGCTCATTGAAGTGATCAAGTCCTGCTGCTCGGGTATCAGCTCTCACCTATGCCTTCAGCTCCACTTAGCACCGAAATATATAACACAAGTTGGCAGGTAGAATTCCTACCAAGAGAAGGAGGGCATTTTGCCAGAAAGGCTGGAATGGATGCTGAATGAAGCTGGCTTTTGGCAAGATTTTGTGGCCTGAGATTACTTAAGTACATTAGAACAGCTGCTGAAAGAAAAAAACCTGTAAAAGTAATAACGACTGTTTATAGACTTGAGTGCACGTCTTTCCCAGGGACAAAGCGTCTGACCCGTTGTGAAGGAGGCTCACTGAAGGCTTGGAAAAAGACTGTAGTCTGGGAATCAGGGAACCTGGGTGTCTGGCCTGGCTCTTGGGTTCTCATTTTGATTCTAGAAAAGTAATTCTCCACATTTCAGAATGTTAGAATTCCACCCTTTCCACAGGATCGCATCAGGACGTTGCAGAAATAAATGAAGCAATGTTAAGAACATGTGCTCTCTAACCTCCAATGAAAAATGCCCTAAAAATCCACTCCACGGATTAGGAATACTGGCACAGGAGCAGCTCTGTGGCTGTGTACGAAGCTGTTTGCCGGACACTAGTTTTGTTACGGAGAGACTCAGCTGCTGGATCTTCCTCTGGAGGGCAGGTGGACTGGGCCTGTAGTTACCCACACACAGAAGCAGCTGGGAATACGTTCACGCTGGCTGGCACTCTGTGCAAAGGCAATCTAAAGCAAAGGATCACTAATTTCCTACTAACCAGGGAAGCGCTCGCAGGCTGCAAAAGAAAGGCCTATCCCAGAGAATGAGCATCCTGGGCGTTTGTAGGTCAAGGGTTGGGTGGGGTTTTTTCTTACTGTAGAGGGTACCTTTCTCCCTCCAGAATAAAGAAATGCCTGCCCATTCTGAGAACCCCATTCAATCAGCCACCTGCAGATGGAAGAGAGGGGCTTCCTGGGGCTCTGAGAGAAGACTGCCCTAGAAAATGGAGATTTGAGGTCAGTCTAGGACATGTTTTCTTGGGGATAAAGAAATGGGAAGGTAAAGGCTCTTGTGGTCCATAGTCACGTGTCCCCCATCTATTCTCTCCCTTCTCTACTCCTATCTGGTCCCGGCTCCACCAGTGGATAACAAAGAAGCTCAGACACAAGTGCAATGGAACTGTCATGGGGAGCAAGGGATAAAGATGACAACCTTAAGGTGATGTTCATGAACGTCACCAGGGTTTGGAGACAATTCTGCTTACCTTGTTATCATCATTGTGTATTGCCTGGATCAGGCTGTCCAGCTCCTGTGCAGAACAGAAACACGGCAGTTAGAAGAGAGAGGAGTCCCCAGAGTGGGAGCTGGGGCCCGATCCCGTTTCAGCCCATTCTGACTCCAGGGGGGATGCCTGCCCAACCATTCTTTTTAAACTCAACTCCTGCTATAAGAGCAACAAAAGGGAAGCTAATGGTAACACTGAGCTTAGGGATTGGAGAAGGAACAGTTCCCAGAGGCCTCTCCTCGGCCTTCACAAATGGATGTGGCTCTGTTCACCCCCAAAGAAGCCACAGGGGGACAATTTCATGGGCGATATGCTTCAGAAGCCATCTGCAGGCTCACCTTGACCTCCTCTACAATCACAGGGAGTAGCTCAGCTCTTGGTCATAGACCTTCCAGGTGCAAAGAACATTAGAAACAGAGCGGGGGCCATGTTCTGGGTGTAGAGGTTGTCACCATGAAGTTTCTTTCCAGAGAAGATTTGATTAGAGTGAGGCCATTGTTACAGAGGGGTCAGCAGGACAAAGGGATCTTACAGAGTTTCAGGTACATTATGGTGAACAGAAAAATAAAGAGGGGGATATGAAGATGCCGAAATAGAGGGAAGAGCCAAGAGGAATGGGAGTGAGCACACCTGGGATGGGATTCTCTTAAACGCTTCCAAGCAGTTGAGGAGGATGGTGTCCCCGTCACTTTTAGCTGCCATGCCTGACTCACTGACACATTTGAGCAGTTGCCGGATCTCACTGTATTTCTCCCTCTCCACCAGCTGCCGAGCGGCTCTGCAGTAGGTGGCGGCAGCGTCCAGCTGGAAGTCCTGGAACAGAACATGGAATGATGGGGCATTAACAG